GCCTCCTCCTCCTCGCTGCCGCCGCGGGAGGCGCAGCTGGATTCCCGACGGTGTACGGAGCGGATCCAACAGCTCGAGGCCGCTGGGAACCACGAGCGCTGTGGGGAGCCGGATGGGGGGAGACCCGGAAAAGGCAGGTGTTTTCTGCTGTTCCTTTCTGGTCGTCCTTAAGTTGGAACGGACTGGGTCGCCATGTATGTGCCATGTACCGACCCTGCAAAAAGCCTTGAGCAACTTCGGGTGACGTCGGAGAGTTACGACTTGGGGTGTTTTCACAGATGAATGTATCCTCAGGTGTGAGATACTTACCAATCCGCAAGCTGCCTAATTAGCATTAGACCAAGCAATGACCTGGGTGCTGACTCCGACTCTTCCGAGCGGGTGCTGATCTTCCTGGGTCCGGACGAGTGGCTGGAGGACGGGTGGCTGTGAACAGCCTGGGCTAGGGTGTAGCCCATGACCAGTAGCAGTCAGCAAAAGATGATCACGATTGTTGAACAAGGCCTGCAACTGAACCATCGTCATCCACTCTTGCTGGCCATGGGATATACTGTACCCGATCCTGGACTGAACTCCGGTCGCTTTGATTTCCTTGATCCTTCCAGGCACACGCCCACCAAGCCAGCCAGTCTTGAGCTGAGAAAGAAGTGTCGAGCTGAATACGTGTGCATGTTCAACGCGTTCGCGTTCGGGATGTCAATGGGTTGAAAAGGGATATACCTGGATCTTCCAACTATGCCAATTTCTGCCTTTGGGCTGATTTTATGAAAAGGCATAAATTTGTCACAGTTGGAAGTTGGAAGATCCAGGTATATCCCTTTTCAACCAGCGTTTATTGCACCAACACCAGTGCAACCAACACCCACTGGAGGCCTGACTCGCAGCTCTTACAGATGATCAAGGCATTGAAGAAATCTGTCGCGTGTTGGGTTGGTTTTGGGTGGGAGTCGTTGGTTTTGGCTGTCGTGTTCAGTTGGTGCGTGTTTCTTTTTTGGTATCGGTGTTAGTTGTTGTTACAACAACTCGGGGACAAGAACTATCTTCCATCGTTTCGAAATTGGCCGCAATGGCCACCCCTCCGGCGGGCTTTTGTTGGCTTTTGCTTTCTTTCGGAGTTTTCTGGGAGTTTGTTTGGTTATTAGCCCCCAGGCGGTGATCACACTTGAGACTGATTGAAGCCGATGTGCAGAGCCCACCGAGTGCGTCGGGGTGATCCCAGATGCGGGGGCCACCAGGAGGGTCAACAAGCTCCGAAGGTCTTGCCAGCATCTTGGAGCTCGGGTGGAAAGACACCGCCTGACTCTCTATGTTCCCTCCAATAGCCATGCGAACTCCGTGGTTCTTCTTGTATGTTGGTATGGTAAGATGATGATGTCTCAATCAGGATCTCAAAGTCTAGTGGAAGAAGATCCCAGGGCGACGACTCGGTGGCCTCGATGGCCTCGGTGGCCTCGGTTTTCGCACCTCGGTCCGTTTCTGCCGGGGATTGGACAGACTGACACGGGGAGCAGCGCATGGTGATTTCCACGGATTTGCAGGACTTAGAGCAGCGCATCCGTGAGGAGATGCAGGAGACGCTTGGCGGATGGTCTGGTCAGAGATGGTCCTGGTTTGTTGGTCGTGCACGAGAGTGGTGGCGGTGCTGTTTGGTGCGTCGCCAAGGACGAAGAGCGGTTGGTGGTTTTGGGCCCCCCCAAAAGGCCATTCCATCTCTCTCGGCTTGTTTGAAAGATGGTACAGCAGAAACCAATTTTGGCCTCAAGGCCTCACGACAAGATTTGCTTCATAAACATCAACAGCTGATGCTAGAGATGCAGCCGCTGAGGTTGAAGCAGGAAGTGGAAAACAAAATCTCCTCGGAGGCCTGCAACAGAGGGAAGGCGTCACCGGAAGACACTCAGTTCCTGGAGCTTACTTGTACAAGAACTGATCAAATACAATTCAATAACCTGGATGATCCACTTGGTGAGCGGCAGGTAGGCTTTTCTGTCACAGCAGTACAGTAGTAACTGGGGCCTTGATGGAACAAAGTCTTGACTCTTTGCCATCGTGGCAGTCCGCTGCACCAGGCCTAAGGAAGTTAGACAAAGCACCTGGAGTTGATCCACACCTCATAATCATATTCAGACCATCAGCGGGCCCGTGCGCCGTGCACCTTCCACCCCCCCAAGTCTATAGGCACGGTACCACTTCGCCGGTTTTACCGTGGAAAACCAGACAAAGAAACTGTTGGGTCATGTTCCATGCTGTCGACGTCATGCTGTCGATGTCATGTGTCGAAATTCTTCAGAAATTCATGGCCCAGGAGAAGATGGATCGAGGAATCCTCGAAGAAGTTCATCGCGATCTTCTGAGCCCCGTCGCCCCTCGGACCGTGTTTGTCGTGTCGACCGAGCCCTGGAGGTGTCACACGGATCTTGTGTGTGATCTTTTTGTTCGTAGTGGGAGAGCTTTGGTGATTTGTTCAGTCTGAAACAGTTGCTCAGTTTTTCCTTTGGCCTTGCATCCTCCCCCCCGCACGGTGCGGGGCCTGGCGCCCCACGGGCACGTACGCGCCTTCACGGCCTCTCTCAACCCGCCGGAGCTTCCGCGCGGTTCCCGAGGCGCCAAGCTCCAAGAGTTTGGGGCTGGGTGGCTTCGACCTGGACTTCCCCGCGAAACCTCAGACGCCCTCCACAGCTGAAGGCGCGCGGTCGCGGAGTGTGGAAACAGTTCCAAACGTCCCCGGAGGATGTGGGTGAGGTTGGGGGAGGGTGGTGGTTTGCACCGAAGAAGACGAACGGGAGAGAGGTGGAGAGATCCGAAATTAGGGGCGGTTGTTTCGTTCATTTTAGAGTTCCAACATATGTCCTATAAAAAGAATGGTCTTTAGGTGACCCGAAAAGGAATACCTACTTACTTGAGTCGGTCAAAATATAGTCGAACTGGACTTCTATAGGGATATGTCCTGGGAAGAATGTTCGGAGCAACGATCCTGGGGATCCTGGCTTCGCTCGCACGGAATCACAACGGTGCTCCGGCACTCAGTCGCCTCGTTGCACACCAAGATGCAAGTCATGGCAGAGCAGCAGGACGTGCGAAATTCGTGCGCTCTGCGAGCGAATTTGAGCGTTGCTGGCGCGTTGAGTGGCAGAGACGTGTTGTTCATGTGAGAAGCGATGAGAAGTTGATGCAAAAAGCAGACCAACACGATCATGGATCAGTTTGTTTGCATGCATAATTTGCAGTTTTGTTTGTTGATTCCTTTGGAACTTCTTACAGAAAGGTCTGCCCAGACACGTGAGGACGATCGAGCCCTCCACTTGGACCAAGAGCTTAAGAAGCTCCAGCAACAGCCTCGATCCTCAGCGGTTGAGTTTCGGAAGAGGACGGCGCCCAAACCGAACCGCCTTTATCGGCCTACAAGATGCTGCGTAGGGCCTACATTGGAAGCAAGGAAGGGTGTTTGGATCTAAAGATCCAAGTCCTGGCAAGGAGATGGGACTGTTTTTCTTTTTCCCGTTTATGTATATATGTCAGTCGAAGAAAACCGTCGATGGCCGGCGTTTCACGCTACCTTTTTCCGTTCCAGTCGTGAGATGCGTCGATGGTCCTTTTGCGGAAGGTGTGATGGGCACGGACCGAGGCTCTTCGAAGTTCAAGTGGGCACGGCCACCACAGCCACAGGCGAATGGACGACGAACAAGTCTTCCTCAAGTGCATCAGAACACAAGCGAGTTGAAGTGTGTGAATGACTCCAAACAACTTCTCAGACTCGTTTAACTCTCCGCTTTTTGCTCAGCTCGTTTTGCTCAGCTCACCGGGAAGGTGGTGACTCTACTGCTGTCGGAGACAATGGCAGCAAGGCCTGCCTTCTCTTACCGGGGGGGGGACAACTTGTGAAGGTTTACGGAGGTGAAGATCGCACTGGCACCACCCGTCGACATGGCTGTAGTGGGAGGTGAAGTACCCTACCATGTCCTTTAGGGTGCCAAGGCTATGGGTTTGTGGTGAACTCGCTAAAGGGTGAAGATCCTCATAGCACCCACCCAGAAGTTCTGGGGAACGGATAAAGACCTCCATGGCTTTTGAACCGAGGCTTACGGAGGCTTTGGACCCAGTGGTTGGCCTGAGTAGATGGCACCTTCGCACACACCGTTTGATGTCTTGAAGACATGGGAGGTTTAAAAGGAAACCACATCAAACCACCGGTAAACCACTTGTCGCCATCGACCCTCAATCCAGCATGAGAGTCTGTAGGATTTCCACTCCGTTTGATGTTTGGGGCCCACATCTACAGTAAGGTATAGTCCAGGACAGAGCTCGAGGTGCTGTGGCTCGTCCCATCCAGCTCGATAGCACGCACCCCGTCGCTGTGACTGGGTCTACGTCGCAGATGGTCATGTTGATGGAGTCTTCCGAACGAGCTGTGCCGTCGTCATTTCATCTTCCCCGCAACCAGCGGAAGCCACCCCGCCACCCGCCGCCACTCGCCGGGAGAAGCAGGCGGCCTCCGCGCTGGCGGGCACCCTGGCGAAGCATGAGGAGGATGACGTGCTCGAGTACCTAGTAGCGATGGCCTCCAACCCAAGAGCGATGGCCTCCCCCCATTGATTGGGTAAACAGCGTCCACCATCCAAAGACAATGAGTCATCACGAGTCCCATGAACTTTGCGCACCTTTATCTGGTGATGGAGGCTTGGTTCCTTCTCCTTTTTTCGACGGGATGGGAGACTCGGTGTTTTTGGGGTGGGACCAGTGTCGTAGCACTAAAAGACGTTGTGGTTTACATGCAGCAAAGGACCAGGTGCTTGCCGTACCCGTTGAGACTTGGGAGACTCGTCTTGAGACTCTCCACGCTCAGATTAGACCCAAAGCGTTGAGACGGGTGGGAGGGCAGGGAAAACTGGGAAAGGCCGCTCCGAGTTGGCTTGACCTCGTTGTAAGAACTTGCGCAGGAGCTGAAGAACTTATCTGCCTCCGTCTCTGCGCAACGCCTGCCTGTGTTGCTTGCAAAGAGATCGGGATTCAGGATGATGGTTGTCATCACGCTCCATAAGAGCAGCGTCTTCAGAATCTTCTTTTAGCACACGACTCTTTGGGGTTCTGTACCAGAATTTCGTGCGACCGAAGGAAGTGACGACAGCATAGCACCGCCACCCCGAAGGGTTTTTATTTTGGACATCAGGTGGTGAAACCTGCTGAGGCAAAAAGCTGCTTCGTCCGGATTGTGCAGCTTCTTCGCCTTGGCATTGCCTTCTCTGAAGGCCTCCCATCGCCATTTTGGCTTCAGCCGCTGTTCAGCTGCAGATGTTGCGGCGCGATGTCTGTCCTGGGACATCCCGTGGTGGCCCATGTTGGGAGACCCAAGTTGAAGAAGTCTATCAAGATGGCTAGAAGTGGTACGGTATGGTATTTTCTTGAAGAAGTTGGACTTCTGCATGAAGTTCTTGAAGAACTTCATCAACTCAATCAACTTCATCAACTTAATTACCAACTTGTCAACTGCAAACACCCAGGGGTGTTTGATTTTGATATGTCATTGATTTGTCAGATTTATTTGCTATCGTTTTGTTCACATCTCGGAAGGGTGAACATACCCTTCCCGTCGGTGTTCAACGAACGCTCCAAGGTGGCCGTGGAGTTTCTGGAGATTGGAGGCGCTGCGATCAGCGCTCCGTCACTGAGTCGTAGGCCATGGAAATCCATCGTAGCACTCTGTCCTTCGGAAACCATTTCGTCCCTTTTTGGGTGCTAATTACGACAAGTCCCTGCTAAAGGCTGGAAGGCGCCAAAGGCGCCAAAGGCTCAGGGTGCCATAAACGCTGAAGCTTTCCCATCGTTCACGCTGCATGTCGCTCGTGCCACTAGCCCAGGTGTGGATGGAGCCTGGCTGGCGCTACATGCCCTGGGGGAGGCACCGTGACGAAGACTGACTTTCCGTGACGTTTCACGGAGTCCAAAAAAAGTGTCAAGGTTTTTTTGAGAGGTTGACCCATAGAAAAGCACAAGTTGTGTACCAGATGAAGTGCTGGGTGCCTAATTATGGTCTTATACGCCTTTTATTTGTCCAGGTGGAGCTCCGCACGCACATGCGAATCATGCTTGTGAGTCTTATGAACCCCTTGTTCAAGTTTGCTCTCTTATCTGGTTCATAAGCGATTCCCCGCGCTTCATCCGCAGTCATGACGCTCGGAACCAGGTGCAGAGCTCCAGCGAGGATGTCAGCCTCGTCCCACCGACGTTCTCCTTCCGTGCCAGCTTTGATGCCACCTGGCCGGGGCGCCTCACGGTTCGCCTCACGGTTCGCCCGTACGCGACCGGACTGCCGGACTGCCGAGAAACTTCGGCCCAGGGGTGGTCCGGTTGGGGGTCTGGCTGGATCGGTAGTCCGGCAGTCGCATGAGTCAGTGTCTGGGATGGAGATGCATGTCAGAATCCAGCAGATCCCTCATTCCCCAAAAAGGCGCGCCTATGGCGTCTTCCGTCCGAAGAAGGAGCATCCACCAACGACGGACCATCCACCAACGTCACACGTCCCACGGCGTCCGAGGCGCACGGGAGCCTTCGGCCGGTTCTTGGCGGATCCGAGCTCAGAGGAGAGGAGAGAGGTGAAGGAAGACGAAGGACAGAGAGGTGATCAGGTGATCTTCTCCAGAAGAGGTCAGCTTGGTAGCAGATTCTGGGTCGAATGGCGCATGGACTACATATTGCTTCTCGAAGTCTCAAGAAGAAAGATGTTTGGTCATGAGACTGCAATGCAGTATGAGTTCGTTTTCATGTGTTCACGCAATGCAGAACTTCATCCAGTCCGTGAGCTGTGGTAGATGAACCTTCGAAGCCACTGCACATTGACATTGTCAAGGCCGAACCACTGCAGATTGAGCTGCTGACGGCCAAGAGCTATCAGCAGGCAGGTCTTTGGGCGTCATCCCTTTGGCTTTGCCACGCGGCAACCCCGGTGAAACAGGATGAAACCTTCGGATCCGACCTGATCCTGCAGGTTGGATTGCCATGGCTGTGGCTTCTTTTCCTTCTTTTCTCTTTGAGGGAGGGTCGCAACTGAACGCTCATGAGCCTTGTGTTTTTTGGACTGTCCCACAAGAATGCGGGCCTGGGCGCCGAAATGGGGAAAAATGATGTTTTTTTTTTTCTGGCCCATGAGGCACAACACTCGAGTGTTGCCTCGAGTGCCTCAAAACATCCACTGAAACATGTTGCTGATAGCCCATGTGCTTGTTTCGAGGCATATATGGCATACACGGAGTGGTTGGGAGACTGCTTCCAATGTCATGTCTTCACCGTCACTCGCCATTCTCGGTGTCACCAATTTGAGCACCCCAATGGCCAAGACCCGGAAGAAAGGTGAAGAAATCCTTTCACATCATCCTTCAAAAATTCAGAACCGAACAAACTTCGACGAACATAATAATTAATAATAAACTGTGTTCATGTCATCCGTCGCTTTTCCCGAGCCCTTCAGGTGGCCAGATTTCAGCTTCGCCCCTGGGCCTGGTTGGAGCCTCCCTGCCGGGCACACGACGCCGCGCGCCGTGCAGTGGGGCTGCGTGGTGCACATGGCGACTTGGTCAAATCTTCCACAATCTCCATCTTTGGTTGCCGATGCCGTTCACACAGACGTTTCTATTATGTTTCTATCATTTTCCATGTGACCGTGTAAACACATCAGCATGATATATCAACATCATCCACGCCGTTCCGTCTGGATACCTGAACGGTCTGACCGCTAGGCCTTCTGGGCGTTGTACGGGTGGAGCATCGTCTCACCTGCGGTGAGACGTGGATGCGCAGGAAACTCAGAGGGACGTCTGAACGAAGCGACGGGTCTTTGTGAAGGCGAAGTGCAAAGGAACGATGCGAAGAGGCGAAAGGAACGATGGAAGGTTCGCCTTGAACTCTAAGCCTGAACTAGGCGCGTGATTCATGTAGACAACTGAGAGGCACTGTCCATGCGTGATGCTTAATTTATCATCGCAAGATTGCCTACTTTTACAGACTGAGTTTGGAAGTCTATTATTCCTTTGCTGCGGAGCTGATTGTTTGCTTCACAGTTTCGAGTGTGCGTGTTTGTTCGGGCCAACTTGTTCTGGCCACAAACCAGCCCCTTCACACTGAATTCCCCTCAAGATCCTCAAGGCCTTTTGGCTCGTCGTCTTGGGAGGTGTCTTACGTTTCCACGGAACCATCACCTTCTGCGTCCCCAATCGTGGGTCTTCTTCGCTGGAGTCGCTGGAGGTCTCCGGCTGGAGGCGGGCGTGGCCGAGGATCCCAGCTGGTGACCCGGCTGCGTGAAGGGACCAAGAGATGGTGACGAACAGCTTCGAACGGGTCCAGGATGGAAGGCGGGTGTTTGTTGTTCAGAAGGAACTTCGAACAACCTCGAAAGCTTCGGAAAACAACCTCGACCTCAACATTCTGATGGAACTCAGGTGTTTGTTGTTCGTGGTCGGGTGTTTGTTCAACAGTTCGTGTGTTTTTTTTGGGTACTGCGTACTACACTGGTGCAGAAAAAGTGGGTGGACACGAAGGTCAGTTACCCTCACCAAAGGTTGCTTGATCAGAAATCCTCCAAAACTCCACGAACTGCTGCGAACGCTGCGAAGACCCTCAAAGAGGGGGAGAGAAGAAGAAGTGAAATCGGTCCATCCCGAATTCGGGTCCGGATTGTTCTTTCCCATGAAGATGGACGCTGCCTCAGGGGGACTCGCTTGGTCACAGGCAGACCCTGTGTGGTCCCTCACTGACTTGGGTGCTGAAGAGGCTAGATGTGTGCGTCACAAGCTTACGACCCTGTGGTCCCACACTGACTTGGGTGTAGATGGGCCCCTTTTCGGCTCCCCTGTTCTTTTTGGGCTTCGGATTGCAGCGGTTTTTGATGGCTTTTGGGGCTGCTCAGCCAGGGTCCACCGAGCGTCGACACTGTGAGCGAAGCGTCGGGCAGAGGTTTGATGCCGAAGGGGAGCGCCTCTTGTGTCTTGGGATGAAGAATTGTCTCCTAGTAGCGTCGTTGCTCCTAGTAGTACGGCCAGGAGCCCCTAGTAGCGTCCGATTGCTCTTAGTAGCGATGCCAGGAGCCCCTAGTAGCTTCTTGTCAATGTTTGCTTCTGCCAGACTTTTCTATAGAGTAAAAGCTCATGTGACATATTTGTCTTGGCGTCCAGAGAGAAAGGCACATGGCAAGACGAACATTTGGGAGTTTGGAAAGACTCATTCAATGCCGACGAGTCTTTTGCAGCTTTTCTTCAACCGGATTTCTGTTAAACTCATCTTCGATCCGTTTGCTATTTGCTTTCAAAGTCGAGGCACTTGCCTGAGAAGGGCCAGATCATCCATGTGCCGCACGAACCGAAGGACGACGCTGAGCACACGCTGGTCGAGCATGTCGAGCATCGCTGGCCGCTGCTGTTGGAGCCCAGCGATGTCTGAATTCACAAGGACCGTTGTCCTCAGAGAAGCTGAGCAGAAAGGACAGATGCTTTTAGCGCCTGTAGCGCGTTGGATACTTGTTGTGGCAAAATTTCTTGTGTCCTTGCAAGTAAAATAGGGCTGAAGAAGCGATGTGATATGATCTATAGTGCGTTCTTTTCACCATGCAGTCCTTAGAAAGGAGTTTGCAGGATACCTGAATCCAGCTTCTTTCCTAACGTTTCTGTGCAGATTGTGAATTCAAATCCACCGTTGCACCGCCGCACTGAGCGATTTCATTGCGGGCCGACTACCGTGTGGACGGTTGTTGTGGAGATCAGAAGGGGGGTGAAAAGGTGTGACAAGAAGGTGTGCTGAGAAGATCGCACAGTTTCTTTTTACGTGGGGAGTTGGAGTTTAAAGAGGACCGCATCTCGCTTGAACTACGTGAACGTTTTGGGGCCCAGATGAACGTAAGATCATTTGGTGGAGTGCGACGAGTGAAAGGACACTTGCCCTAGTTGATCCTTTAGAAAAACTTCCTGTGAAGAAGAGGGCATGGTGAAAGAAGACAGAAGATCTTTAAAAGATGTGTGTTCTCACACAAGAAAGATCAAGAAGTGTGTCTTTTTCTTCACGATGTGTGTTTTTTTGTTTCAAGACCTTCGAAAGATCACCGGCTTCCCACGGCTTCCCACGGCCCCTGATCCGTTCGTCTTGCCACCTCCCTCCGCCAGGCTTCAAGCTTCGGTGGGGCAGGTGCGACCGATTCTCGTCCGGCCAAGTTCCGGACCTCCACCAGAGCGAAGGATTGGGAGGTGTTCTTGTCCATCTTGCAAAGATCGCGTGCTCAATTACCTAGGCAAGTGCAAACTGGACATGGAAAAAATGAAAAAAACATGAAAAGGGGGAATACATGTGACATGTCCATCAAAAAAGGAGACATGTCCATCTTGCAAACACCTCCCACATGATTGGGAGATGGGGGATGGGTCGGTCTGGTGCATGCGAAGGAGTCCACGCGGTGGGTCCGGAACTCCGGAACCGTTTCGGTGTCGTTCACACGCGTGTTCGCCAGAAAAGCGGGTGTTCATGTGTAAAGCTGTTGGCAAAGCAGGACGTGGGATTGGATTTGAGCATTATGATGTGGACATGTATACTGTATACAACTGAAAATTGGCGAAGGATGGTATTGAACTTAAGAGAGTGTTTCTTTTCGATGACACCAAATGTGCAGCAGAGCTGCACAGCAGAATACCTGCTAATCAACAGTAACATCAATAGTAACTTGTCTCATAGTCCAGGTATTCTGTCGTGGCTAACTTCTTATCGATTGTATAAATACATGGCACGAAACTGGCACTCGTATATTCTCCTAAGGCTGTTGACTGTGACTGTAATTAGTTGACTGTTGGTTCTAACAAACACCCACCATGAGAAAACCCAGTGGTTTTACTTGCTCCTCATGAACGTGCACTTTCCGCGTTTGGAGTTGGTCATAGGCGATGTCAAGTCCTACACGAAGTCGAGCCCTCGGGGTTGGCGCGTGGGGCATCCTTCGAATCATCGAAGTCAAAGCCATCGTTGGGGGCAAGAAGTCACGTTTCACTTCTCAACAGGCACAGCTGAGGGTGGAGAGCCAGTGCGGTCCTCTATGGCACTATGGCTTGGAACGGTTGTTCGAAGGGTCCTGACACTTCACCTGCCTGGCGCGGAAAAAGACACGCTTTCGCCAAGCCGCGCCTTCCGCCCGCCGCTCCGCCCTTCCGCCGAGGCCAGGACGAAGCTGGTCGACGGGTCGAGGCAGGTCGATGAGTTGATCGATTGAGAAAGACATAGAAAGACTGGGGTGAAGAGTTTCCTGGAACTTGTTCCGGGAAACTCAGATTTTGGTGGCTATTTTTCAAATGCTTATGCCAATGAAATGACATACTCGCCGCTTCAGAAGATGTTCCTAATTTTGATCTCTTTTGGAATCCGATTCCTTTTGGACCCATCAAATGACATCGAAGGATTTGGAAGAACTCCAATCAGCAACGTTCGACCAAGCAATCTCCACAACGAAAGACAAACCCTTTCGACCCAAATACGAAGTGATCAACGGGGGTGGTCCATGCGCGCACCGGTTCCGTTTCTCAGGCGGATTCACCCGGCGATGCGACGTCACTGTGTGGTCACTCAAAGGTGAGCTGTGGGTCACGATGGGTTTTGCGGAGTCTCCACCAAGCCTCGGTCGATGCAGTAATTAGCTCAGGCAAGGCTACTGGTTGGATCGGAGGGGTCGTGGGTCGTGGCGCGGGTAGGGTCGGTGCGGTTCGATGTCCAAGTTGGTTCTGGAGAGTTGGGATCCAGGTCGCTGTTTGGGTCACTCATATGCGTAGGTCGCTGCATGTGATGCCACACTCACATCGTCTGGTGTGGCTTCCGATCGGTTTGGGTCGTCTGCAGTGCCTTCGATCCAAGGTGGTTTGTTGTCAGGTCCGGTGTCATTGGCAGTGAACGGATAGTCTCAAGCGTCCGGCACCAAAAAGAAATGCCGCTGACCTTGGCGAACGACTGAATGGTGAGGAAGGTCGAAAGGGCTTCATTCAGCTCGTATTTGGCCTTTGTGAGAGGTGTTGGACAATGTTGGACCTTTCTTTAGCCCAAAACGCTCTTTTTCTTCCCTTCCTTCCAGTTTTACCTTTGATTTATCTGTTCTGGATCTACCTGAAAGTCAGACTGCAACACCAGCCTTGTTGCTGCAGAATCGCTGCGCAACATTTGCACTAAGGACCTTAGCATTGCAGAAAGCCGAGGAGGCCGAGCAACGTCGCTTCGAGAAGACGGAGAGCGTTGTTTTCTGCGACCGTTGACGCCCGGGTGTCGCTGATCAACTCAATGCCAATGCCATTTGATCATCGTTCCTGAGGGAACTCGTAGAACTATTCATTCAAGGATGTTCAAGGATGTTTCTTCCATCTTTTCCATCTTTTTTGAACTTGTGCTACCACGGTTTTGGTCTCTTTTGTTGACTTTTGGTCGTTGGCACTGCGCACGAGTCGTGCACCAGGCGCAGCGCAGGGTCGCTTCCCTGCAGACGGAGGTCCAACGGCAAGTCCAAGAGTTTGCTTTGTTCTTTTATTGTGGGGTGGTTCAACAGCAGCTTCGAGTGCAAAAAAGGCAAAGAAACGAGTGCCAGACTTTCTGGGAATGCTACTACCTAATTAGGCTAATTTCCTTTTAATTGAAGGTTTTATCTATTCTGGAACATGCACAGGTGTCCCGCTTGGCGGAAGCCGTGGAAGCTCTGAGGGCAGAAGCAAAGCTCAGTGACCAGGCACGGAAGGGAAGGTGATGAGGGGCTTTAGTTCTTTTAGAGGTGCTTTGTAGAAAGTGTCTTTAGCTCAAGATACACCCAACCCACATATCACTTGAAAACTCAGCATTTGAACTTATTTCTGCACTCGTGTTGGATATCAAGTGTGTACGTCGGGTGAAGAACGCGAGTCCTGACATGGCTGATGGTATAGAAACCCCCGAATCAACATGAAAGATGACTCTTCTGTGCCATCCGTGGGTCGCGGTTTCGTCTACTGGAAGGACCGTGAGCAGCTACGAGTTCCCGAAGGCCTTGACAAAGAAACGCTCCAGGATGTCCGCGATGACTTGTTGGTCCGGTCCTCACTGGAAATAACTTATTGCAAAAAACAAAGAGGAGTTGCGGATGATTCCAAGGGCGCAAGGAGAAAGATGGGATCCAGGTTGCCTGAAACGATGTTTGAGATGTCCTGCAAGCGAACCATGGATAACCATGGAATGGATGCATCATCCAAAGCGCCCCATGGTCATGAGAGACACCCAAGCAGCGAAGCTTGTGCCGACTGGGCTGCTTTACACCCTAAGGGCTTGGACACCAAGGAGGAGAAGCCAGAGAATGAGGCCCAACGGCTTTGCCGTTTCGCAGATCGGCCAGTTCAACCACTACCGCGAGTTGTGGGGCAGAAACCAAGATCGACGGGCCGGGGTGAGAATGTTGTGTGTGTGTTGATGTTGCTACAGTTGAAGCATCCAAGTAAGACTCGGACAGGTGAGCGGAACTGCATTTTTGGACAGGACCTCTTTTAAAAAAAAGTTGAATAACAAGACCTAGGAAGAAAGACCATACCAAGTTCAAGCAAGGATTGGATTCCAGATGAGAGTCCGAAAACCCGAATGAAACTGGAAGATCTTACAACGGAGCTACTAGAAACAAGTGCATCGCTACTAGGAGCAAGTGCCTTACTAGTAGTAACAAGAAGCTATTAGAAACAAGTGCCTTACTACTAGGAGCAAGAAGCTACTAGGGGCTCCTGGCCTTTCTAGTAGGAACAAGAAGCTATTAGAAACATTATATTACAACGGTTATCTTTATTTGCCACCATGAACTCCAAGAGACTGGCTCGTCATGACCCGAGAGTTCTTGTCAGCTGCAGGTCCCGGACGTGGCGGACGTGGCGGACGCGGCGGACGCCGAGCTGGTGAAGCCTCAGGTGCATTTGTTTCTAATAGCTTCTTGTTACTACTAGTAAGGCACTTGTTACTACTAGCGTGGCACTTGTTTCTAATAGCTTCTTGTTACTACTAGTAAGGCACTTGTTACTACTAGCGTGGCACCTGTTACTAATAGCTTCTTGTTACTACCAGTAAGGCACTTGTTACTACTAGCGAGGCACTTGTTCCTAGTAGCAAAGGAATCTAGGCCAGCTTTTCAGATAGATCCCCCTTTGGAGATAGGGAAATTGCCCACTTTCCCCGAATACCTTTTTCACAAGTAGGCCTAACGAATCGCTTGTGCACGAAAGAAATTCGTGATTGCCCGGCGTTCACAGGTAGGCCGAAGCACGAAATGGAATCACTGATATTGGCCGTTGACCTTTGGCCGTGCTGGACTTCGGATGTTCACCGGCACCGATCCACGGACGAACCGAGGAACGGGCTCCCGGGGCCGTCAGACGATTCTGAACCGGCGTCAGACGAAAGAACGGGTGAAGCTGAGTGTTCCCCCAGTCAAGGCAGGTGATTCCTCCTCTTCATCTTGGTCAGGCATCTTCTGGCGAAAAGCCTGCGCTCGAAAAGCCTACAGAGCCAGCTGCGGTGCGGCGCCCAGCGATGGAGGATGCCCCCGGCGTGTGATAGCTCAAGAGTCGCAATATTCCCGGACAACCCCAGGCATACAAGAAAGAGGTAAGACAAACATCACTCACAGCTGGTGTACCCTGGGTCCTCTTCTTGAGCCGAAGGCCTTGTAAGATCTTGTCATCTCAAATGATTATGAAATTGAGCCTCGAAATACGATGTGACACGTTGCCTTCCAATGTTCAAAGAACTCCACAGGTTATATACCCCGCTACAACCTCGAATTCAGAAGAATCTATCTAAAACGACCCAAGAAATCCAAACAGAGGCATTTAGAAATAAAGTCGTCAAATGCTTGGCTCCCCACCGCTGTTTTTTTGCACTTCACCGATGAGCCTTTTTCACGCGAACGACGAACGTTTCCGGTGACGCCACTTCGTCCGAGGCTTCGTCCGAGGCTTTGCCAGGCGACCGGTTAGTCTGACCGAAGTTAGTCGTCGGTGAGTCGTTGTGAGTTCCCGGAACATGATCATTTTCTTCTGTGCATCGCGTGTTCTTTTCACCTAGGCAAGTGCAAAGTGGAGTTTTTTGTTTACTTTGTTTTTAGAGTTTGCAAAACATCCAGGAACCAAGGAAGAGCGAAGGCCATTCGATGGATAGGGACTGTGACATGAATCACCCCTTTTAAGGGCTCATTCAACAGAGAAGATGAGAAAAGTGTCTCCCAGTTCTGTTGAGCGACACCGCCACGGGAGAAGGTGAAGAGGCGCTCGCAGAGCGCGTCGCCTCCTTGGAGCAGAAGGCGGAGTTGGTTGCTGTGCGCGAGAACAATCATGCGACGTGATTTGATGGACTGCAGCGCATGGTTGGAGTGTTTGAACACTTTAAACCAATTGAGTTGCTACCTGCTGTTGGGTTGCAAAGCTGGGTTAATGGGACTTTATGGATACCAGCTATGGCATTGTGCCATGGCTGCATGATCCTACAACAGAACTGCGGAGTGTGGCAAGCTGTTGCATGATCCCGCCTAGATCCGATCGTGTACTCGCAGAAACATCCGCTTGGGGGGAGCCCACTAAGCAAGAAAACGGGTCGAGATCTAGTACCAACTTTTGGCCAGTTAAAGAATCTTACAATGAAAAATAACTTGTGATGCAACACTCAGAGGCCAAGTGGTTTGGCCCAAAGACCTTCACTCGTGTAATATAGTTGATGGCTCCATGTAGTTCTTCAATTGAAACAGAAGTCTTGGATCTTTGGATTGGTAGGTTAGCAGCCTTGATGAATCCTTGCAGACCTTGACGGAGAAGGCCTCAACATGGGAAGCTCCGCGGCAGATCTTGCAACGTGTTCACATGAAGGTCACTGGCTTCCTGAAATGTTTGCGCAGTACCGTACACAATTTTGAAGGTTGCTAGTGAGCCATGCTTTGTGAAGCTTGGTCGCTCCAGGAAAAACGACTCTTGCGTCCCTGGCAAGCATTGACAACCCAAAGACCTCCGTTCGTTCGTCTGAACATGTTCACCACACGCTTTTTCAGTCTTGTAGCAAGACTTGTCCAGTCGCTGGAGAGCAGAACAAATCGCCACCGCGCACGGTAGCGATGTCCTTGGCGTCGCCTGGATTCACAGGTGTCTCCAGCCTCCGATGCAGCGGGGCTCAGTTCCATTCGGTTTGGAGCTTCCGGGTGCACATGAGCAGGGAGAATCTGCCAAATCGAGACATCCATGTGTTTGATTGGAAAGGTGGGACAACTCCCTGTACTTCCTTGTATTCTCTTGTTCCTGCTCCCGTCATGGTGCGAATGTTTGTGAGGTGTATGGCACGACAATATAGTGCTCTTCTTGCTTCACCCCGACATGAACCCCGCAGAGATGCTGCGATGTCGTTTCCACGCGCATCCACTACGCGTTTCCACGTACGTCGTCACAGATCTTCAACTGCAGCCGGAAGTAGTTTCACCTCTCAACATGTCGACAAAGCACCTTCAAGCCTTTGACATCTTTTTCCGCTTTTCTACAGTGCACACTGCACCTTTGCACTCTGCCGACCTCACACCGCCGTGCACCGCAAGGCACCTTCATCTGGCGCCGACGACCCACGCGTGAAGGACGACACGTCTCCGGTCCCGGAAGGCAGCGTCGCCGTGAGCGTCGTGCGTCGAAGCGGTTCGGAGGTGACTGGGCGAAACTTGGCGGCATTTTGGAGCATATCGGAACCCACAGAGAAAGAGAACCTGAACAGTGACGTTCAAGTCATGCAGTGCCAAGCTATATGCTATATGCTTAATCTCACGTGGAACTCTCTGCGTTTGGAAAAACGGCGTCGTGAGTCTATTGCACCTGCGTCCGCAGTCGGCACCTGCGTCACGACACCACGAGGCTTGGAGGCCGACGCCTTGCAACGCTTGAAGGAGCTGGAAACCAAGGCGTCCCGATCGCTCCGTGCGAGTCGCGATGCCAGGAGCTATTTTTTATTGAATATATTTAATTTACAAAGGCTGTTTGTAGATTAAAAAGACTTGATACATTTAATATTCGTAGATAGTAGCTATGTTTGCTACGGAAAAACCGCAAGGAGAACATCTGGACGATGTTTGGACGACAGAGTCACCGCGCGAGGTCCGATCCGGAAAGCCAGATTCGATGTGTCAAACGCATTCCTTCGTTTGACCGCACCACTGGAGTCACTGGATGGGGGTAGGAGCCGGAAAGGGACATGGGGCAATTCACAGGGCGGCTATGTGATCATGTTGGTGAAGAAGTCCCTCTTGACCTCATCAGAAGACCATGCACTTGATCAGTAGGTTTGTGTGTTTCTGTTTCCGAGAGCATCCCACAGGTGGCGGAGCTGGCGCAGAAGACGGCTGGTGAGACACCTCCGGCGCAGGCGGCCACGGATAACTGAGATGAGGGTGTTTGGTGGAAGAAGTCCAGAAAGACTTAGTTGCGGATGGCCAAAAAGATGGCAAAGTTGAGTCTAATGGCTTCAAATGAATCTCTGCTGGCTGACGAACAGATGTGATGTATACACTGTACTATATGCTATATATTGCTATATTAATTCCTATGCATGTCTGACTTCTCTGAACGAGCTAAGCCGCGTGACTTCGACACTCTGCGCCGGCCGGAGGTGGCGGAGGAGGCGTCGGCAGAGGCTGACGCCCGGCCGGAGGCTTCGCCCGAGACGAAGCCCGAAGCCACAGCGGACGCGGTGCCGGAAGCGGCGCCCGAGACGGAAGCTCCGGAGGTCACGGCAGCGGCAGAAGTGAGACCAGGCGGGGTGACAAGGAAAGGGAGAGGTGTTTGCCGCATTGGGCAGGGTTCGATGTGGTTCGATGTGGTTCTTGAAACCAAAGGAGCAGCGTACAATGCTTCGCTTTCAAGCCAATTGATAGCGTGTAGAGTTGCTGGCCAAACTGGTGGTTACTTCCGGCTTTGACTACGGCGTGAGGCGTTGAACCTGACTCTGTGGCGTGCTCAGGAAGCAGCAAGCTATGATCCTTCTTTGCCTTGGAGTCTTAGAGTTGATAGACAGATTTAAAAAAGCCCTGCCTGAAAGACTACATCAAGAACCCTGAAACGTCCGTGAAAAACGAGACTCTTGGCACTCTAAAAAGCTCGGGCTGTCTCAACGGAACCGTGTTGAATCCAAGGCCGCGCACGAAGAAATCGCGAAGCTTTGGAAGGAGGCCACAAAAGTGGGTGAACATATGTGAACATGGGTCTGTTTCGGCGTTTATCCCACCAAACCAAGGGTTTTGCTTCTTGTGTTTTTTTTGTTGCTGGGTGAAATGGTTCAACAGCGGGATAGTAAGCATTGGGCCAACGCTCAGAAGTCTCCTTTGTCACATATTCTGCGTGCGAAAGCGTGCTTTGATGCACAGCTTTGTGGCACAGCTTTGTGGCCGGTGTTTTCCTTTTTTCTGGTGCACTTCGGCTTGGATGTTCATGCAACTGCTTAAAGCAGACCAACCACACAAAGAACATGTCATGCGATTTGGCAGTTTTTGAGCGACTGCCATCCGAAGATTGGACGGACGAGATCCCCGGAAGCCAGGTGCAAAAGCTCTCAGAAGCTGTCGCTGACCTACAAAAAGAGGCTCCGGACTGGGTCCGCCCTGGTTGGAAGCCGTTGTCCACGGTCGAAAGGGCGCATCCATCGATCTGAACAGGTGCCTCAGAACCTGTTTGACCATCTGGCTGTATACCGGAAAGATCATGTTTTTTATTCACATCTTTGCGTTTCGTCATGCTCCTCACCTTATAAAGCTGCCGGCTGTCGGGCGCTCACCGAGTTTGAAGGCCTCGACCCGACGTCACTGATCGACCGTTTGGTGGACCGCCCCGAGAGCAAAGACTTGACGCGCCTTTCGCAGCCCATTTTTGTGGAAAGACGCGCCTTTTCCTTTTCGGCCAAATCGGTACCATGAGCGGCTACAAGGATGGAGACAAGCCGAGCTGTTGTGCCAGGGATGGCTTTGCCACCCCGTTGGAGGCCATGAAGAACGGAGAACCCGAAAAGGTGACGCTTGGCAAAAGAAGACATCATGAAAGAAGTTGAATACTTTATAAGATATTTTTGATGAGCAGCAAACAAACATCACCAACACAGGATTTGGTCTCAATGTAGACTGTTGATTCATCAAGAAACCGGTACCAGAATCGTTATACAACGTCATACATCTTCATACTTGGAGGTTTTGTTCATCAAGGAGTCCATACTATCTAATTATATGTCTGTGGGTCAAAACCCATACACCCTGGGTGACGTTGGGAGGTTGGAGGGTTCCTTTTTTCGAGCAGAGACGTTCCGATGGTTCTGCCCCCGGACAAAATCGTTGGATGGGATGATGTTTCTGAAGTATTGCAGTGAATTCTCTTTTTCTACCCTTGCAGCACTAAGACCGTGCACACTGCGGCAATTAGAGGTCACAGATGATTGGGATCCTCCGAAAAGAATAACAGCATCCAAGGCAGCGCGTGTGCGTCTTCATCTCCGGGGGCTTGTGCTGCCCATGTGTAGAGCTTCTAAAGTCATGCTTCACGGTGCCTTCCTACCAAAGGAATTAAGACTGAGCTAGACTCAGCCCGTCCTTTCTAAACTCTGGGAACCATCCTTGTGCAGCACCGGTAGACTCGGACCATGACCAACGGATGCGACCATGTCCAAGTCCGAGGATCTACATTCCTGCGGTGCAGATGGAGAAGGGCACCAAGCCAGATTACTTGGCCACCGTGGATGTGGATCCCAAGAGCCCCACCTACTCTCAGGCGCTTGGAGAGATGAGACCCACCGAAAAGCACAGGAAAAGAAGGAACACATCAGCGAACATCAGCCAGCAGCACGGAGCTTGGGCCTGTAATATTAACTCTATTGTAATATCTGTTTCTAATAGCAAACATTGTTACTACTAGTAAGGCACTTGTTACTACTAGCGTGGCACTTGTTACTACTAGCTTCTTGTTCCTGATTGACACGCTTGACATTTTTGGGATCTTGCCTCACCATCCCAAATCCGTGGTGCTGGAGTTGTTCTGCTCGATGCGTTGACAGCCACAAGGTCCCAATGAACACAGATGGCTCAAGAGCCCTCCAAAAACCAGAGAATGTTTGGAGAATAGAAAAAGCATGCCCTCCCAAAACAGGGTGCCAGCTATTTCATTTGCATTTGATGTTCACCCCCACTCACACGAATATTCAGAACCGCCAGGTGATCCACCGTTTGCACATGGCGGAGCCGGGCGACGAGCTGCACCACTTGGGCTGGAACGCCTGCTCCAGCTGCCGCGGTCAAACGGGACGCCCCACGCATTCCTTCATCGTGGCGCCCGGCGTCTTGTCGGGCAACATCCACATCATCGACGTGAAGTCGGATCCCAAGGCGAAGTCGGCGGATCCTCGACGATCCGCGCGGGAAAGTGCGTGCTTGGAGTGCTTTTGCTTGTGCTTGTTCTTTTGGTTGTGTTGCATCTATCTTTAAATGGGATTTGGTGGCCAAAAGAAAGGAAGAGATCTAAATCATCTTCCGGTTCCAAAAAGTCAGGAACCGAGTCTCAAAGCAGGGCCCCGGTCAAGGTTGTCATCCTCGAGTTTTCGGTCGACCCTGAGTGAGGTCGCCGCGGATGGACATCCACAACACATGTATGGGGATTGCGCAACATTTGTCGGATCCCCGAAGTGGATCACTCTGAAAAGCGTTTTTCTTGTGGAATTCATGTACCACAGCTGAATATCTCTCTCGAAAAATGTGAACCCCGACCACTCTTTTCGACTGGTCTTTGGAGGATCCATCTATCATCCTCAAGACTGAAGATGATTTTGAAGATGAAGATGATAATTATGGTTCAATATGTTCAAACCTATTTGGAACATTATGTATGAATTCTCCCCTCTGATTCAATACCTCCGCCAGAATGATTCTGCTTCCAGATGCTTCTGCAAGGTGGCCGTCGCTGGCCGTCGCGATGGCAATGAGACTTCCAATGATTGGTCATGGCACCGGAAGCCCCAAACAACGATAGGTGGACCCTGTCCAGGTCGGTCTATTCTCTTCACTTCCCGGTCCCCTCGCGTCCCCTCGCGTCGGATCGGATCCTCAGTGCGGCCGCACCTTTCGGCAGGCACCGAAGCTCCACAAGACCATCCCAGGCGCGCGCAGTTCGGCGATCACGACGAGTGCGGCGCGCCGCGAGCAGTCGTTGGTTCGCCTTTTTGGGGCGAACGGGAAAGGGTTAACGGAAGGTCCGTGCATGTGGCAGTGCATGTGTCTTTTTTTTGCGGAAGATCGGTTTGGAAGATCTTTCCGTTTTAAAACACACTCGCCAAATCTATCACCCCACTGCGCCTCAATCTATCATTAGATATGGGGCCCACATTGAAGGGGGGTACCAAAAACACTGGGACCAGGCTGTCCGCCCTCCAGACCTACATAGAGTATCTTCCCACTGGGGGCCGAACTGTGTTGCTGCTGGCTGGGGTCGCCAGGGCCGGAGATTCTGAGCAAAGTGGGTGCGGCGTTGCCGCATACCACGCACTGCGCTCCGGACGAGCTCATCATGTCCTTCATGGGCAGTGGCACTGCGAAGGATGGCTTCAAACCGGAAGGCGCTGGCTTTGTGTCCTTTGACCCCAGGAGAGGGTGAGCCAAAATATGTCAAACACCGAAGCAGAGTGGATATAGCGGGTGAAATCTTGCACTAAAAAATATTTGCCAGGTCTCTTGAGGTTCTCCGGGTGTGTATTTTTGGAGGTACAGTGTGAACAGACCCGAAGCCAGGAAACCCAACTGAACGAACTCTTAGTGCACATGGTTGTCCTTTTTCTGCGACAGATGGGACATTCACAGCAAGAACTTGGGACTGTGTTCTTTTTTCAACCCGTTTTGCCACGTGTTCTTGCCAGCCACACGACAGACTCCCCCCCCCCGAAAACCACCAAAGCACCGAAGAGCCCGCAACGGCTGTGGCCGGCTTGGCGCGCTGCGACCGCAGGACGTTTGAGATCAAGCGACGTTGGGAGGCGGGGCCCAAGGCACCAACCTTTGGATATGACTCTTGGCAGCAACCTTTGGCGGGAAAGCGCAGAAAGCACCGCGTTGATGTGTGAACTCCCATGGTTTTTCCCGGTCTTCGGTTGTTTGCTTCCTTGGGGGGGGGGATGTTTGGGGTCTTGGATTTTGGTGCTTGTTCTTTCTCCTTAGACTGTCAAGACGCAAGAGGGTTGCGTCCGGTTTACTAGCTTGATAGGTCACTTCTTTAGCGACATGGACCGAAGCCAAACGTTAAACACGGGCGTTGGAGGCCATCGCCAGTAGGTTGGAAGAAATCGCTAGTAGGTTGGGAGGCCATCGTGCTTCAAAGGCTCCATCAGCTGAGGACTTTTGGTATCAGCTGCGGCACGATGTCATGATCTCCTCTGAGTGGGGCGATCCTGATTGCTTCACCAAGGGCTTCAATCCAGGCCATGTCTCGGAAGGAAAGTATGGCAACAAGCTCTACGTCTGGAACTTCAAGGATCATACTTTGAAGCAGGAGAGAGGAAGAGAAGCGCCGGGAAGCGCGTGCGCTTCACATTGGAGTTAATTGAGGCTTCGTGTTTCTTCGCGATTGCATGCAGTGATACATAGTGATACATTGTGTGGCAAGTTGGGTATAAAAAGCACTGTTCTTCATGCTCACCCCCCAAATCTGTGCAGTTCCATGGCCTGGAACCACGGCCTTCACGGAAACGGTTAGATCAGGAGATTGATTTGGGTGCCGGCGCCATTCCCTTGGAAGTCCGCTTCTTGCACAATCCCGAGAAGCCCGTGGCCTTTACTGGATCTTTTGCAGCACGACATATCGACTGATTTTGTGACTTTTCGGAGACGAGGTCTGAAAAGAAGGAAATGAAGAGAATGCATCACCCACCATATTATCCTTCATCTACACATCTGCCGGATTTGGGCTCCCTGCCAGTCATGGCCCCTGGTCCCGCCGGTCCCGAAAGTAGTGAATTGTCTCGCACCCAGTCGTCACGTTCTCCATGGACCTTTGTTGGCAGCCAAGTCGTTCCAGGAAGAAACGATCCCCTTTCACTTTCATGAAATCACGGGTGTTTTTTCCTCTCCGGCGTCGATCATTTGCAAGCCTTAAATAGACCACCTCACTCAACCCCTGATGTTTTGTAGTTTGTGCCCGGGGGTGTTCACTGCTTCATTTTTTTGATCGGGGCGGAACTTGGGCCCGATGTGGGAAGGCTTTGCACTCAGGATGTGCGCCTCCACCCTAGTAGAGATGGCCTCCAAGCTAGTAGCATCCTTGTTCCTAGTAGGTTGGCGGCCAGGACCGGGGTAACGAGCGTCCTCCGAAGGCTCCGTAGACGTGACGTTCGTAGCGATGAGGATGTGCCCTGAGCTCCGAGATGATCCAGATCACACCGAAGAGTGATGGTCAATGGGCAGCCAAGTGTGTGATCAAAGTGGACCCCATTCCGGTCACAGGCGCCGGCCCTGACCGGCTGGGGCAATTCCGGTGGAAGCTGAGAAAGGTTCAGCACGAAAATCTGTGAAAGGGACTGAACGGGTGAAGGGTGTGGATCGTTTTTTGTTCGCCATGAGCTATGAGCTAGGTGCCCTCTGGTAGGAAGACCAAGAAAAAGGATGCCAAGAAGTGTCGGAACGACGAAAGGGTGGAGCGAACACGCAGGCTGGGCCTTGCCTCATATGCCAGGGCTCATCACGGATTTCTTGCATCTTGGAGCGTCTTTTAAATGCTCCGAAAGGGCAGGGAGCTGGGGCTGCGCACGACTCGACGACCTCGTGGGAGTGGGGTGGGTGGGGTGTGGAGTTCGTCCTTTTTGCGGAGGGCGAGATCTGTCCTCCGAGCTCTCCCAGAACGCCGGCCTGCTCGAAGTGGATGATGAATAAGGAAGGAGTTGGACCACAATGGGTTTCGAAACGTCTGTCCGGTTGTTTGAAGCATCGTCGTATTCTGAAGCAGCAGCCTCCCCCCACCAAAAAGGACGCAAGACTATCAACAACTGCTGGTACACCCTTCATCTTCTCACCCGCAAAAAAAGAGTCATGGCTGGACCTCCTGACATCGGCTCTTCGCCCCTCCGGTCCGCTCCTCACGTGCCCACATCACCGGTCACGTGATGCACCTGAGGATCTCCATGGACGATCGGTTTTTGTATCTCTCCAATTGGTTGCACGGCGACGTGCGTCAGTACGACCTCAGCGGTGAAGAGCCGAAGCTGGTGGGACAGTTCTTCGTGGGAGGCCGTGCTGCGGAGCTTGGGGGCGGTGGTTTTCCCGCTTAGGGCGGGCAGAGTGCTTAGGGCGGTGTGAGGGGATGACATCAGTGATGATATAGTGCGAGATCAAAGACCTCTCCACCCGAGGAAGGAGAGGTCCTGGAGTCCCTCCTGCCGTTCACTTGGGCAGGCTTGGGGGGGAATGACGCTCCTTCCAGAGACCATGTGATTCTTTGGCTTGGTGAGTCAACGGGGGAATGACAGACCCTGTTGTTGGCACCAGATTCGTCCGATAGTTCTGTCACACCTTCGATGGGGAGGGAGATGGAGGGAGGGAGGGAGGGAGAAAGAAAGAGAGAGAGAGAGAGAGACCATGTTTGACAGCTCTGATTTGTGGTACTGTTGGGTGACGAATGAAGGGAGATGCAGGTCACTGACTCCGCCCGGACCCACCAGTCCACCCGCCACCGTCACGCGGTGACGCCGCGTGGAGGTTCCATGAAGCGTGGAGGCCCCGTGAAGCGCACCGATGGAGAGGAACAACCTGAAGCCTTGGTGGTGAAGGGAGTGGAAATCCAAGGTGGGGGATGGGTGCGGTGCGGTGCTGGAAGGGATGGGTGTCAGACGGATGTTCGACCATGGGTGAAGGATTTCCATTTGTTTTTCTGAAGGAGGTCTGTTTGTCCTACTCTAACCTGTTAGTAACAGTCGGTCAACAACCAAAGCATGATCACTATATCACCACTACTTAAGAGATGTCGGCCTGCAACTGCAGCGGAAATCATCCACCTAAGACCCAAGAGAAGTGGCTTCTTCAGGATTGGAACAAAAATCGGATCGAATGCGAAAGACCAGCCGTGCGCGCGTCTCCCCTTCCCCTTTTGGGCATGCCCCCCTGTTTTTTGCGTTTGGGTGTGCCTCCCCACTAATTCGTCGCTTCTTGCTAGTAGCGATGCAACTGTTCCTAATATCGATGCCCTTGTTACTTAGTATGAGGGGCTTTTGTCAGATACACACACTGCTGGAGTCAACACGATGAGATGGGGTCCAGAATTGAATGTGTTCTTCCAGAGTACACTGCACCTATTGGACTATGGCTGCTAATTGAGTGTTTGGGGATACCCAGAGATGGTTTCGCGAAGCCGGAGGTCGTGTCGCGTCGCGTTGTGTCGAAGAAGTCTTGCAGGTGGAGCACAGATGGTCCAACTGAGTCTGGATGGAAAGCGGCTTTACGTGTCCACGTCCCTCTTTTCTTCCTGGGACAAGCAGTTCTATCCGGACATGGCCACACGTGGTGCGCAGATGATTCAGTTGGATGTCGACACCGAGACACTTAGCCAAACTCACTTGAGGATGTTTACAAAGGCCTGGCTAGCTCCCCACCCACACCCACACGATGCCACTGGAGTGAATTGCTCCAAAAAGTGCCACACCGGGAGTGTTTTCTTCCTGGTTTCCACCAAGCCTCTCGTCTTCCGCTGCCTCTTTCCGCCAAGACAGCTACTTCCTTCTCGTCTTCTGCTGCCTCCTTCCACCGAGGAAGGGCGGGCTCACATTGAACCCCGATTTCTTGGTGGATTTTGGACAAGAACCCGATGGCCCAGTGCTGCCACTTGAATGGAAGAGAGAACTCGCAGGTCCGTTGGAAGGCAGCCGAAGCAAGCCGAAGCAAGGAAAGGTGACCCACAGATTCATGTAGGGCGATCATATATTGGGCAGATGACCACCACATATTGGATATGTGCTGATGGAAATCTCCACGGGAGGTCCCACAGCTCGGGGGTTCCTCTCATTTGGGAAACCAGACATCGCCCAAACGAGAAAAACCACAGTGCTGCGACCATCACGCCAGTACTGCGACACGAACACATCGCCTCTTCGTGCGAAACTCGTGTCTGCGATGAGGTGCCATGAAATGCGACTGCCGGGCGGCGACTGCACCAGTGACATCTTCCTCTAAGGCTCCAGTGCCGAAGTACCACAGCTCCGGGCTGTGAAACTGATGTTGGCCACAGAATTCGTGAGGCAAAAGATCCTGCGAAACCAACGCCATCTGTGAACGCAACTAGTTGCAAAGAAGTGGTTTTTGTGACCTCGGGAGCTATGCCAGCCTTGTGATCTGGAGCTCTTTTCACAGCCTCTTTCAGCTCCATTCACTCACATTTAGAGGCTAGCTCCCTTCAGACCATACATCCACCATTGCAGCCAAAAAGTGTCATCGAGCTGCGGACCCGGAGCTGGCACCGCGCAGGGTGAGACGTTCTTTCGCTTCCAACGGTGAGACTCGGTGGGTCCGGGCGAGACGTGTGACTTGCTTGTTTCGGTCCACCAAGCACCACCTGGGAAGATGTGATCACCGCATGGAGCCCAGATAGCAAGCACCGCAACTAAAACTAAAACAGAAGCAGTAAGATTCAGGCTTCAAATTGCACAGCATATGTCTTGCCCCGATGAAAAGACATATGATGTTGTGTGTAAAAGATTGTAAAGGCAGATGCAAACACGTCCAAAAGTATTCGTGGAAACAGTACAACAGGATGTCGCGCGTACACATGTATATACACATATAGAAATGTGTGCGCACACAGTACAGTTCCCAGGTTTCACAAGCATCATGCGCAAGCATTCAAACATGTTCAAAAACGTCAAGCAACCTTTTAATCAGACTCACGCTTCAAACTAAAGATGCTGCTCCAGCATATGATTGCCCGATCAACACAATAACCTCAGCGTGTCTCAAGAATGCGCAGGCAGGTGATTCTTCTTTGAAGTAAGAACCCCATAGCTATACGATCGCAGTCTGGGGAAAAGAAGAAATGCGAGTGAAGCCACCCATCGCAATGTGCTTAAGAGGCTTAGCACGAATCCGTGGTGCCTCGTTTGCCCGCCGCGTCGTTGGCACGTCGTTCGAGCCAGGCTGAATCCAAAGAGATTCATCCGCTGCGACCTCAGAGGTTTTGACGTAGACTCTGAGGAGTCGAACCTGTCGACCCTCCCCATTTGAGTTCGAAGATCCTCTTCATATGGGGGGGTTGACTTGGTCTTTTAGTCCGCATGATCGATGCTGATGATGCTGGTCGATCTTCTAAAGACCGCCTCTTTGGTGTGTGCATTGCAACGGTTTCCCATGTTTTTCCCGAAATCTTTGACAAGTCTTAGAGCCTCAGGGGTTATCTTTGGGTTTTGGATTCGACTGGGTGCTGGAGTTCTTCTGCTTCCGGTCTGATCCCGACAACCCTTTCAGGGGGTGATCAAGAAATCATACCCACCTTTTGGAATGGAACAGGGAAGCAACGGAAGGCTGGTTCACAGGACTCCAGGCTTTGAGGGCTTTTGGAACGGAAAGCATGGTGAACCGTGGACCCGTCCCACGGAAGGCGCGAGACATACGACCGTCCCAGTGATCCTGAGGCCGGGCGAGGATGACGAGGCCCGGCACAGCGTCCATGAGTGGACAGGAAAGCCCTCCTTAGGAGAAGGGGTAGCTCAATGAGTGACCCGAACGTTTGTTCAGCAGCTGTTCAGCAGCTCAGCTGCTTCACAGTCATCGCTTTGAGGTTGTGGGGGGGGGAGGCCAAGTCCAGAAGCGGCGCCGCATCATGGAAGCCGCATAGTCTCTTCCAGAATCGCCCGACCTGACCCACTCCGATAGGAAGCTGGCAGCAACCCCTTGGATGAGCTGAAGCAGGAGGCTGGGGGGCCCCTTGTTGGTTTGGTTGGTTTGGTGTTAGTTTGGTTGTTGCTATGAGCCCTTCAAAACATCCCCCGCAACCATTTTCATGTTCAAGAGCCCTCGAGCAGTTTCAACGCCCTTTGAATCTTCAGCAGTTTCAGTAGGATCAAATCGAGAAGTCAAGTAGTAGCGTCCTTGTTACTAGTGCCTCCAACCTACTTGCGATGGCCTCCTTCGCTACAAGCATCGCTACAAGCATCGCTACAAGCATCTTCCCCCACCAATCGAATGCAAAAGAACGAAGCCTTTCTCCCACCTCAGCCTGCACCGCTTTGCTTCGTGGCACGCAGGTGAGCACCCTGAGTGGCAACCTCGTGGCGTTGCAGGACTCCCAAGGAACTCTGCAAGAGGAGGCCGGGCTCGTGCGAGTCGTTTGACCACTGAGTCGGGTGTGGTCGGGGTGTGGTCGGGTGGCAGAAAGCAAAGCTGAATGGGAGGGATTCAGCAAGTTGATTTGAAGTAGTGAGTCTGGGTGAGGTGCATGGCTTTGGTCAAAAAGGAGTGTTTTGCAAAGTCTGGAGGCTCACCAGGACACCATGATTGGCCCGTGCACTTTTTGGCGAACACATCATGTTGACCTCAAGTCATGGAAGCTCTCCTACTGTCGCGAAGGTGAAAAGACTCGCAGCGGCCATGGAGAGCGACCAGGCTGGCTGTGCTTGAACATGGATTGGCTTTGAGTGTTCACTTGGCCACCCCTTTGCCAGCAGAGTCATGTCCCGCTGTCTTGTTGACCTGTCACCATGATGCTGAAAGTGCTAATAGTGCTTCGTGACACTTCCTACATACCTTTTTGAATCAAGAAAACGTTTCACTGGCACCCACCCCTTTTCTTTGGCCCAGCATGTGGGAAGAAGCTATGAGATCCATCCGCGTTCACTGCACGCTCCGCGCTGATGCACGAGGTGTCGAAGCTGGCGGAAGAAGTCCAATCCCTGAGACGCCATGTGGACGACGGAGAGCCCCAGGCAGAAATCGTTCGAACTGGGCAATGGGATGTTGGATCATACCCAACAGTCGTCCCAAATCACCGCGGTGAAACGCGGTGATGGGACCAATGTCATGTGTCGATGATTCGTTTGAACTGTGCAGGGTGTGGGAGTGCGCTATTTGGTTTCAGCTTCCCTATTTGATCTCCATGTGTTTCTTGCATGTTCGAGCATTTTGTAGGATCTTAGAGGGTAGATTTACTCATGACAAAGGGAGACGAGCGAGAGAAGCCACCTTGGCAGGTGGCGAATCTCATGGAGGAACTCCAATCCTTGCGCCAGCACCTGGATGAAGGAGAACCGGCACAGAAGGTGCCCTGGATGAAGGAGAAGCCTGAAAAATTCAACTGCAATCGAAGGGTGTTGTTCGAAGATTAAGAAGTTTGTATCGCTCATTTTGGCAGGGCTACGGTCCGGTCGGTGTAACGGTACCAGCTTCACCATGAGACACCGAACCACATCACACATCACCACGTCAATTATGGCCACATTGTGTGGAAGAAGGGCCCGAAATGAACAGAGTCGCCATCGAAAGGACAACGGCCAACTTCCGCAACTGCGGTTTTGTTGCGAATTTGCTGTGTGTTTTTCTGTGGACGTTCGTTGAAACCAAAAGCAAGTTCAGTTGGAACGCGATGTTCGCCTCTCGCCTTTGGAAGAGCGAAGAGGTGGAGAGCCTCGCAGAGACCCTGAAGCAGCTCCAAGAGAGTCACCACGACTTGCATCAAAAGGCGCCAAACGCGCCAAACGGCCCCCAACCGCCGCGCCCACACCGCTCCCCAAAACCAGGTGCTGTCGGGTGCCCGTAGCAAAACAGCTGCCCAAGGTTCGACTGAACAAAAGAAGGGTGAAAAGTGGGGACTATGGTTTGACCACAAGTGGTGACTATGGGTCATCCGTCACTCCCACATGGTTTAACACCGGGTGTTCGAATCATGTGAATAACCATGTTGTCCAAGCTGTCCAATCTTCTTCTTCACCCCGTTCCTGTTCTGACTTCTGTCGTGCAGCCGGTGCGATGACAGGTGGAGAACGTCGGGACCAGAGAAGCTGAGGTCTCCGACTTGAAGAAGCAGGCGACATGCGAAGCTGAGCTGAGCTGCTACACACGCGCGTGCACGGCACACGCAAGAGGGGGCGATGAGAGCCTGTGAGCCTGTGATCACATCCTGTGATCCCAACAGGTGCGTCTCAACATCTTCAAGCACCGGTAATCCCATCCTGAAACCAATCAATCTGCAAAAGGAGCAACTTCCCTGCGATCATCCTACGAACTCAATGAATGGGGTGTAGCAAAGGACGCGTAGCAGTGTAGCAATGCATGTCAGTCCATCGGACTTTACCGAATTTCCACCCAAGAATCAGCCAGAACAAGAAGAAGCCATGATGCCAGTGCCAGTACTTCTTCCTTTGATTCCACACATCTTCCCAAAAGCAACGCACACTTTCTTCCGGCAGATCGCCCGAAAAAGGGCGCTTCCGCGCCCCGCTGCGCGCCGCGGAGGTGCAGAGCCTAGGCGACACGGTGACTCGCACCGTCGAAGCGGTCAGCGCGCGCAACGAGAGCCTCAGCGAGGCGCGGTGGCCGGTCGTGGCAGCAGGGGAGAAGAGGATGGAGCAGGATGGAATGGCATCGGATGGCCATTTTGGTGTGGGAAGGTGACGTTCCACGGTTGATGGGCTTGGAGAGAACAGAAATGAAAGACGAAGCTATCTAAATCCCCCCTAGCGTTAAAGCCAAAGAAAGGAACTTCCGCCCAAGCAAATCAATCCACCTTGGGCCTTTTGTCATGAATCAACGATGGACGATTCCCTGATCTTGGAAGAAATGCCGAACGATCAAATCCAGGTGCCAAAGCTCAAAGAGGCCTTGGAGTCTTTGAAGCGACGACAAGAGGAGTTCAACTTGCAGATCGAGGCGGCTCGACCCTTGCATTGAAACGAGTGTTTCCGGCACCATACCGGTCCATTCCAAGGCGCCGATCGGTTGGGGGTTTGGTCATGCGAATGAAATCCTATGGCCAATGCGCTTCTGTTGCTTGTGGATGGTTGAAATTGGATGGTCAACCGAAATGTGTTCGCTTCCGAGTTCTGAGACTGGGTCTACCGCCCTACCCAGCGTTGGTCCCATAGCTTTCGCCGGTTTTGGGGATGATCAGATCATCACATCAAATCACCCTCCAAATCATGAGAAGTGGACCCCCATGTGAGTTTTGGCCGTCTTCCGACATGGCCATCCACGGTTGTCACGGTTTGGTTGGAGAGAGGGAACGTCTCTCCACCCGTTCACATGTCCAGATCCCCCCAAACGCGTGGCCGATTTTCTGGGCGCCGTGGCAGGCGACGCAGCGGAAGCAGCTCAACGCCATTCGCGAGGACATGCGTCGCTCGGGCAGGACGTGTCTTGCGATTTCGGCAGGACGCTCGCAGGTTTCTTCGAAGCTGGTTTCGTGTTGGTTTTGAAGTATGACTCAAGAGTAGTTAG